TTTATTTATTATTTTATTTTATTTTTTAATTAAAAAATTTATTTTATTTTATTTTTTAATTGAAAAAATTTTTTTAATTAATTTATTTATTAATTTATTTTTTAGTATTATTTTGAATTTTTTATTTTATTTTCAATTTTTTATTTTATTTTAAATTTTTTTTATTTATAAATTTTTTTATTTGGCTCGCTTTTGCTCGCCCCATTTATTTTTTATTAAAGTATCTTATTTCATTACATGTACATGTGTTTCATATATAAATTGCCTTTTAATGCTTTAATTCCTTGCTAAACAGCTTACAGTAGTTTCTAATGCAGATCAAATGGAATTTTTATAGCATGTGTGAGCAAATACTGTATAATTTTATTATTATTATTATTATAGATGATAGACATTGGGAGTGGTAAAGGATATTTGAGTGAGACTCTTTCATTCAGTCATCAACTGAAAGTCGTTGGAATAGAATCACAGCCAGTCACGACTCTTGGGGCTTTGGAGAGATGTAGAAAAGTTGAGAAATTTTTTAAGAGCCATCCGAAAGAAAAAGTAACTTCTAACAAAGAAAAGGGAGATGAAAAGGAAGATAGGAAAAAAATAGAACATGGATGTGATCCATTTGATGATTTCGACTCACTTCATTTACCATTTGAAGAGACTTTAACATTATCTGAGACTGAATCAACTAGCCATGATACATTAACTAAAGACAATAACTGTATTAATAAAGGACTTGAGGATATTTCTATTACTACTGCAGTGATTAGCGTTCAGGAAGAAAATACCACACCAGTAGAAGCAGCAGTGTGTACTATAGAGTCTAGTGGTTTATCGAAGCAAAATGAAAACTGTGATGCCCCAAGTAACATAACTGGATCTCAAAATCCACTTAACAATAAAGAAATAACAGCATCAGATAAAGGAATGGACAATGATACCAGTACAGGAACTAATGCAGTATCAAGCAGTCACACTCAACCAGTACCTTGTCCTCTAACAGACTCATACACACCCATCACCCACTACATATCAGGCAGTGACAGCATTATTGATATAGCTGGAGGTGCAATAGACACTACACGACCTTTGGGACTAGTTGGACTACATACCTGTGGCGATTTGGCCTCTGTTATACTGAGGCAGTTCATTAAAGAGCCTCTGATACAATGTGTGTGTATCGTGGGCTGCTGCTACCATCATATAACTGAGAGAGAAGATGTCACAGGTACATATAATTATGTCATATCGTAGGGCGCCTTTTTTTCGAAGGCTATAGATTTTGTGGATTTTTATTTTGCGGATTTAATTTTAATTTTCATGAATTTATGCCGTCTGTCATCTTGTACTGTATTAATTTGATTTTTTTATTTTTTAAAAATCGTGAAATTTGCTAAATTTACAGCCCTTGAAAAAAAGCGCCCTACGGTATTGCTTTTCTTTCTATTCTACTTTTTGTTTATTTTGCTATTCCTCCTACTTTTTATTTTACCTTTCCATTTCTTCTATTCCTTTTTCTCATTTATATCTCACAGATGCTGTTCCTGGATTCCCAATGAGTCAGTTTCTAAAGGGACATGGTGCCTTTCTCGGTCGTAACACTCGTATGCTTTCATGTCAGTCTGAGGCTCATTTCTCTACAGTTACATCCGGTAAAGCACTTGAATCAATATTCTTCAGAGCTGTTCTCCAGGTACATGTATACCTATTTTAAACCAATGCTTAGGTGTAGATAATGTTTTCTGGAGTATTGCATTGTTATTTAATGTCTCTTCACATTAGGTAATACTTCAGAAAGAAATGAAGTTAATTCAAACTCCCCAAGAGTAAGTATTGTTAGCCATGCCATATATTAACTCTTAAGTTTATAATGAATGAAGCATGCAGATTCTAAAGGCCACTAAAACTAATTAATAATTGATGCACTTTATTTCTTAATTTATTCAGTGCTAGGGAGCTGTTAGTTGGACGGGTTAAGAAGTACAACAGTTTCACTGATTATGTTAGACGAGCTCTTAAAAGACTCAATATCCGAGAACAAAACCAACCATCAAACGATAGACTGGAGTATTATTATACATTGCTCCTTCCAAGACTAACAGAACTGCAAAGATACCTACAAGTATGTGCAGCATTCCTTATTACTGCTAATAATAGATTACAGAGATTATTATTCTGAAAAGAGGAACTCCCTCGGCTGTTTTAGTACAGGAGGGACTTTGGCCTGATTTCTGAGAAACTTCAAAAGTTCATAAAAATCCAATTTTGATCGGAATTAGCTCAAACTTTATTCTCAGCATAAAAACATGTATATGTATCACATAAAATCATAAAAATGGCAAATTCTTTTTGTTTCAATTTTGACAAAATTTGGCCCGAGACCCTGTACTATAGTACAGGGTATTTGGCCAGATTTTTGAGTAATGTTAAAAAAAATTTTTAACCCAATTTTGATTGGAATCAGCTTTAACTTTCTACGCAACATAAGTACATGTATATGCATCAAAAAAAAGCTATAAAATAAAGAATTTTCTCCTTTTGAATTTTGATGAAATTTGGCCCGAGACCCTGTACTATAGTACAGGGACTTTGGCCTGATTTTTGAGAAACAGAAAAAATTTGTAAAAAATCCAATTTTGATTGGAATTAGCTCAAACTTTATTCTCAGCATAAAAACATGTATATGTATCAGATAAAATCATAAAAATGGCAAATTCTCTTAGTTTCAATTTTGACAAAATTTGGCTCGAGACCCTGTACTATAGTACAGGGACTTTGGCCTGATTTTTGAGTAATGTTAAAAAAAATTTTTAATCCAATTTTGATTGGAATCAGCTTAAACTTTCTATGCAACATAAGTACATGTATATGTATCAGATGAAATTATAAAAATGGCATATTCTTTTTGTTTCAATTTTGACAAAATTTGGCCTCAGACCCTGTACTATAGTACAGGGACTTTGGCCTGATTTTTGAGAAACAAAAAAAAATTGTAAAAAATTCAATTTTGATTGGAATCAGCTCAACGTGTATACATATCAGACAATATTATTAAAATTAAGATTTTTTTCCTTGTAATTTTTGATAAAATACCATTGAGGTTTGTATTTTATGTATTAGGTGAGAGCTGTTATAGCTCCATTGATAGAATCACTGGTGCTCTTAGATCGACTGCTATTTCTACAAGAACATCAAGTAATATATAGATACTATTTTATCACCAAGCATTGCTATTTTACTATGTTATTTGTTTGTAGGAAGAATGCAATATCAAGGAGGCATGGCTCTCTCAATTGTTTGTTCCAGCAATATCTCCTCGCTGTATTGCTCTATCTGCTATAAGACATTAGACAATAATAATAATGATTATCATTAATGATTTATTTATTGGGTGTGTGGGCGTTGCCTTATCCTCTGCCACTGCCAGACAATGGATGATTCTCACAATATAACAGTTGCTCTTCGTCTTTTGGCTCCTTCTACTAATGAATCAGTCAAAGGAGAACCTGGTGAAGTCGTTAGACTGGAGGAAGGAGATAAGAAAGGAGTTTTAAAAGTAACAATAGGGGAGCTCCAGCAAGAAGAGAACGAGCCCCACCCATCACAACAAACAAGCAACTTGATCTTTGACGAAGTGTACTCCTGCTCTTCTGAGACTAAAGAGCAAGATATACACAAGGCAAGAGTCTCTCCGCTCATTAATAGTGTTCTTGAGGGATTCAACGGGACAGTACTATCACTAGGTAACCAATCAATGCTAGGGGATGCAGTACAGACTCAGAAAGGGCTGATAATCAGAGCTGCTAGGCAGATATTTAACACATTGAAAAGGCTCAAGAAATCCGGTGTAACAGCCAATCTTGTTGTACCATGCACCTTTTTAATGCTCTGTGATGAGACACTGTACGATCTCTTTCATCAGCTCCCTGGAGATAGGGTAGGAGAAATAAGAGAGAACAAAGGCCCAGTTTTAGAAATGAGTGAATTGCTTGATTGCATTACTTCAGAGGCAAAGAGAGTAAATGGAGTCAAGAAACTATTGGAGCATGGGCAGGTCATGATGGAAAAGTATCTGCGATGTCACAGCTCTGATTCACTTCGTCACACAGTTTTCACGATTGGCGTGAAATATTCAGAGTTTGGGTCTCTCTTCTCACCAATCAGTGGTACACTCTCATTCATTAGCATCAGCAAGCCTGACTTGCTTGATGTGAATCAATTATTGACCAGTCAAGAACTCCCAGCCACTGCCTGTAGCATTAGAGATTTCTTTGTCACAATAAGCACACTCACACAAACCTCATCATTACTACCAGGCACACCTGAATTGACTCACCGATCAGAAGAAGCAACCTCTGATGCATTAAAAGGCTCCAAACTTAAACCTTTATTAAAAGATGCACTGGGTGGTAACTGCAAGACACTTTTAATATGCAATTCACCTAGTGTAACACATTGCAGCAGTCACGAGCAGATTTTAAGTTCTCTCCAGTTGCTCTCGAAAGCAAGAAACATTACCAATAAACCAGACAAGACAGAGCTGGCAAAGAAGGCACTAATGGATGCTTACATGAAAGAGTTAAGGAAGCTCTATGGGAATGCCCCTGGTAAAGGAGGAAGGGAAGAGGGGCAGTTAGATGAGGTGACAAGTGATAATAAAGATGCTGAATTTGCTGCAAAGGCACTGGCAACAGCTGTCAGAGAAGGAAACGAATCTGAAGGCAGTGACAGTGAAGATGATGAAACTAGCTTAGATAAATCAAGTAAATACATATGATGCTATTTATTTATGTTTACTTATTTAACTCTAGTTGGTTCTGAGCATACCAAATCTGGCTCACAGAAAAAGATGAAGAGACGTTTTACTCTCAATATGTTTGGAACACTGGAGTCATCAGGCCCCCAGGAGACAACCTCGGAGGATCTCACAATAGAAGCATTAGTATCTGTAATCCAAGAACCTGACAAAGGAGTACCAAGGGCATTGACTGGAGCTTTGGAAGATGTTAAAATACACAGAGGTACATAGTATAATTCATAATATAAAATACTTGACTCTATTTTTACAGGTAAAGGAGCTGTTTTTTCTGGTGCAGATATCGTGACGTGGCTAGTAAAGAATATTGCTGGCGTTGAAAATGAGGAAGATGCTGAGAAAATCGGTCAGATTTTGCTAGACAAAGGAGCAATTTTTCATTCAGAAGGAGCAAGGTATATCTGATATTTTAATGCACTGTATATTAATTATTTATATTCTTAGTGTATTTTTCAATTCATCGTACCTCTTCTATTATGCAAGAGAGGCCCGTCAACTTGCTAAGCCATTAACCCAAGAGGAAATACAAGCACTTTTAGGTCATGGAAGTAAGGGCCCAAAGGAACAAACGCTAACCGCCGATCAAAGCAATCGCAACAAAGGGAATGATCTTAAATCCCCAGAAAGAGAGCAGTTCTTTAATGTTGAGGATACTATTAAGCCTATGAGCCAGAAGCTTCAACCAATTCATATATCATCTCCAACATCTCCTTCTCAGCCAATATCAGGTCCGCATCTGCTACCTCCACTTCAAAAGTCAAATAGCATCATAGAAGAGAATGATCCTGAACCTTCTACACTCACTGCTACACTTGTTCCTCAAAAATTGGTGGATTCTACTGGCTACAGTAACACGGAAGAGCCTGATTTCCCATCAGTAGAAGCAACACTTGTTCCACAAGCTGCCCAGCAGCCTACATCAGATGGACAACTAACTACAGAAGATAGTAAGATGAAAAATTATGACTAATGCCCAGTATTGACAATTTTGTTATTTTCACGTATAGCAGCTTCAAGTCATGAACATCAAAGAAATCAAGAACCAGATGACAATTATGATTATCTAGATGATGAAAATGCAGATCCTAAGGTTTGTTTCTAATCAGGATTCCAAAATATTTTCAATTTTCTAATAGACACCATCGAATGAAACAGCTCCAAATTTAAAAGCTTTTGAAAGAGTCCCAGATTTACAAACATTGGAAAGGTAAATACATCCTCTTGAACTATTATTCTAGTTATTGAAACATCATTGGACTTTAGTTGTAGTGATTATCCACATCCTTTACATTATCAAGCAGCGACAAAGAACGATGCTGGTGTCATAAAACACCTCATTCACTGGTATGGGGTGGACCAACTTGACGATAGACACAGGACTCCGCTAATGTTTGCTGCACTGGGCAACAAAGTAGATCAATAATGCAGACTTCATGCTAGTTACAGTATTTTTAGGCTACTTCATGCCGAACGTTACTGGAGTACGGGTCTGTTCCAGACAACAGAGATAAAAGTGGCTTGACAGCTGTTCACATTGCTTGCTATCATGGGCATAAAGAAGCACTGGCAGTACTTGCCAGTAAAGGAGCCAACGTTGCAATAAAAGACAAAATGGTAATATTAATATATATTATTCTATTTATTATTAGTATGACCGTAGTTGCACAGTGCATTTCATTGGAGTGTTGTACCTCCTACTACACACTGTCTAAAAATAGTTTTAAGGTAAATGATTATCCTTTTCAAGTATTAACACTCTAAGCTTGATTTAACTTGCAGATACTCACATAAACACAATCTTGAAAGAGAAGAAGACAAAAATGGTTTGACTCCTATCCACTGGGCAATTTTTTATGATCATCCAGAGCATTTGAAGCTGCTTTTACAAAGGTTCATTCATCACGTTTATAATAATACCGCATTAATACATTGTCATATAGGTGTACTGACCTAACAAGGGTTGACAAATGTGGACGAAATTTTGCTATTTATGCCATTCAAAACGAAAGGCTTCAATGCCTTGAAGTCAGTATCATTGATAAAATATTTGAAGTTTTATTTATAATTCCATAGTGCCTATTAAAAGCTTGTCCAGTATTTGCAGTACATTCAGACAAGCACAAATTGACTGCACTCCATCATGCTAGTGCTCTACCATCAGCTACATACCTACAAGCCTTACTCAACTCAATGACAAGTACTTATTGTCTAGCACAACTTTATACTGATACTTAGTAGGCAAAGGACAGCAGGTTTCCCTTGACATTCAGGACCAATATGGAAGGACACCAGTTCATTATGCTGCTTTATATGGTCATAGCGAAATATTGAATGTAAATTAAACCAGCCCTATTAATGATTGTGCTTATAAATGATCAATTGTACAGTTATTATTGAAGTATAGTGCTGATCGGAATCCTAAAGACTCTTCTGGAAGGACTCCTCTTCAATTGCGTAAAGCCTTTGGAATGGAAGAGAACAGAGATATTGCTGAGTTATTGGAAAGTATGTCACTTTAAAATGATACTATATATATATATATTACTTGTAATAATAGGAGAGCTTACAGATGGTGATAAACAAAACAGGGAAGAGTCTGCTGTGTGTATTATAATATAAAAATAATATTAATAACTGGACAATAAGCTAAAAAATAGAAATTGGCAGAAATCAATAATAATGTCAATAGATAATAAAATATATTTTGTTGTAATTTTTTTCAGACTTTGCTGTATGATTTGACTAATTTATGTATATATAGCTCTTTGATTATTCTCATTAAATACAGAGTTCCCTATAGCAGTTTCTAGTCTAGCTAAAACTAATAGACTCATATGTCTTTATTCTTTTAACTGCAGACATTACATGCATATACCTTATACAAATCCACTTTGTTGTATGCACATGTAATACATTTGTTGTAGGCAGGGACAGTTTTGCTTTAGAAACATGAGTCTAAGCAATTTTGCAAAGACTAAATTATAATTATTAGCAAAATAAGATGTTTACATGATACTGGGTTCAAATTGTGACCATGCATATTTAAATAATGTGTCATGCATCTCCCAAGACATTATTCATTCCACAATCATGAATCAACTTTGCTACAGAAGTGTCAACTTTTTCACAGCTATGGCTGAAGCCAGCCCAGATTCCTTCTCTCTCCTTGAGTACAATGCTAGGAGCTTTGATGAGAGCCTCCTCAAGGAAAGAAAAGAGAACCTCAAGAGAAGACAGAGACCATTGAACATACTCTGCCTAGGAATAACAGGCTCAGGGAAGTCTAGCATACTCAATGCAATGATGGGAGAGGTCCTAGCTAGAACACAGTGTGTCCCAGAGTCCTGCCAGTCTGAAATGGAGTGCCACATAGGACAGTATGAAGGAATAGAGATAAAAGCTTATGATACTGTTGGCTTTACTGGCTCTGCATCTACAGATAAGAAAATTCTTAAGAATATTTCAGAGAATGCTCCCATTGGTGGATACAACGTGGTGCTCCTTACATTGAGGATGGATTGTCGATTCGATGAGAAGGTCTTTCAAATGCTCTCACTAGCTGGAAAACTGCTGAAAACTGTAATGTGGCAGAGGACCATTGTAGTCCTTACATTTGCTAATGCATTTATAGTTCAGCTTGAAGAAGGATATCAGGGGTACAGCTTGAATACCGACGTTCAGAAGATGACAATAGAGAGAACAATTGCCAAGATAAAGGAATTATTTCAAAAGCACACTCGCCTTCATAAAGACATAACCAGCACTATTCCAATAGTACTAGCTGGTAGTGCAAATAAAAGAGATTTACCAATTGATTCAGACTGGCTATCAACGCTGTGGGACAATGTAATTTATCATTGTAAATATGAGCAGAAATCCTTCTTGAAGCCTTCGCTATTTAAACGTATCACTAAATCTTTACATTCTCAGAGATTTGAGAGCAACTCAGAAGAATTAACTGAAGAAAATCCAAGTACAGACCATCAAAAATTAAAGGAAAATGGCTTAGAAGCAGTAGAATTGCAAGATGACAAAGTAAAGGATATCATACAAGCAGATAATGAAGATCATTCTTATGAGGAAGAGGTAGAAAATGACAGTGAGAATGATACAGAACTGCCTAGTCTACAACTGGATGACTTCTTCACTGATGTCTTAGATAAAATGCACTAACTTTACCTATAGCATACATGCACTTAACTATTTACACTGTAGGTTATAAAATATTATTTTGTTTATAGCACAAGTGTATCATATTTTTATCATGCTTTTGATTTAATGAGAGTTATTATCACCACCCATGCTTTAAATAGCATTCATCACAGTATCATAATTCATAGCCTATCACAACAGTGCATCAGTGGCTCAGTACATGTAATATGATATGCATGTGCATTGTAAATGTGCATGTTGGAAATAGAAGAGTGATACAGACATTCAAATAACAAAGTTGCAAATTTGTAAATTAGTAATGAATCCCATCATAATTAAACTACAAAGTTACCATGAATCAAGATTTGAATATTATGACTTAACTATCCTTTAAAGTCCTTTATATGCAACTATTGTTGTAGTCTGTCCAATTCTTTTCCTAACAGTCTCAACATCATCAATAAATTGTTGAGCAGTGCCGTCTTCTATCTTCTTCCTCCAATCTTTCAATGATTCCTCAAGCTCCTCTGGTGTAGCTGCCGCCCAAATACTGCAATTAAAAATAATAATAATAATATCAAAAATGAATTCAGATGTTAGCTTTACCTTGTGGTGTTTCTCCATTCTGGGTCAAGTGGTCCGTTAACATTCAAGTATGTGTCCATTTTAATGATGGACTCATGACAATGAGCCAACACAGACTGTACTCTGAAACCAATCTTAGACAATCTATCATGCAATACACTAACAGGAGGGTACCTATAGTTAAGTAGAGTTTTATATAGAATACAACTATGTCAGATATTACTTTTCACTAAGACGTTCGGATGCCTTTGATACTATTTTATACATAAAATATGACTCAAGTAACTGCTCAGATGTAAGAGTATTGATGACAAAAGCACCTTCATCTTTTAATATCCTATAAACTTCACTTATTGCTTTGGTAGGACCAGCATACTCTGGAGGGGAACTACCTGATAGATGATGCAATACCTAAAGAGTAAATAAAGCAGACTCTAATAATAATATTGATTTTTATTCCCATTAAAACAGTCAAAATAATAAAGCCCATAAAACAATATGTTATCTAATTCTTACATGTGTACAAATGACAACATCACAGTATCTATCTTCCAGTGGAACACTAAGGGCACTTCCCTCCATTATCTTAACATTTGGTAGATGCTCGGTTTTCTTAGTAGCTTGCTCCATCATTCCTTTGTTATATTCAATACCAGTAATATTACCAACAAAAGGACTTAATGCCACTGCATAATTACCAGTACCACAGCCTATAAACAATGGGAGTATAATTACTAGCTACAGCTACATCATTTTAATAAAAATTACAAAAAATTAATTTAGGTGTGGTCAGGAGCCGACATGTAATGCAAATGCAAAACATGCAACTGTGCTCAAGCCTTATGGTCAAATTTACAAACTTGCATACAGTATGACCATAGATATGGACCCAGTCACTTTAGCAAGAGAGTCACATTATTAATTAGTACCAATATCAACAATGGAAGCTTCCTTTATTGATCTGCCTTTCATTACACGGGCTACTGCTCCAAGAATCACATCTATTCCAACTGCCTGCCTACCTATAAACGGATAGGGTTATACACACAGAACAGTTAGTTTTTACATGAGTCATAGTCTTTGGACGCTTTATTGTAATCTTCATAATCCTTGGAAGCCATTTCTAACAGCCCCTCCCTAAACAGACTTGCTAATTATGTTTTTCTGCATACACACAATTACAAATTTCTAAAGTCCTTTATATGCAACTATTGTTGTAGTCTGTCCGATTCTTTTCCTAACAGTCTCAACATCATCAATAAACTGTTGAGCAGTACCATCTTCTATCTTCTTCCTCCAATCTTTCAATGATTCCTCAAGTTCCTCTGGTGTAGCCAAAGCAAATATACTATGATAATTAGAAATAAACACAAAATTTATAAAAAATGAGGGACATAAATCATTCATAATTAATTTACTTTTTTACCTATTGGCCTTTCTCCATTCAGGGTCAAGTGGTCCGTTAACATCCAAGTATGTGTCCATTTTAATGATGGACTCATGACAATGAGCCAACACAGACTGTACTCTGAAACCAATCTTAGACAATCTATCATGCAATACACTAACAGGAGGGTACCTATTGAATATAAACTATAATTGTAATAATTTATATTAAAATACTTGTTGCAGAGATGCTTCGATGCTTTTGGTATTATTTTGAACATAAACATTGACTGGAGGATTTGATCGTGTGACAGTGTATTGATGACAAAGGCCCCTTCATCTTTTAATATTCTGTAAGCTTCACTTATTGCTTTGGTAGGGCCAGCATAGTCAGGGCCTGAGAGATGATGTAGTACCTAATGAGTATAAGAGAGGATTGCTCTTTATAATAGCAGTGCTATTAATTATTATGATTGAAATTATGTTAGATCTATGCATCAATAGCTTTGAGACTGCATTTACCATAACTCAAAAGATATAAGTCGGAATCAGCTAAAACTTTCTACATAGCATAATGGCAAAAAAAAATACTATTTAAACATGATGCAATACCTAAGAGTGCATAAAGCAATATTAACTATAAAAACAGTCAAAATAACTAAACTCTGCTATTGTAAATTCCTAGGAAAGAAAACAATCATATATGTACCTGTGTACAGATGATAACATCACAGTATTTGTCTTCTAGTGGAATGTTAAGAGCACTTCCCTCCATTATCTTAACATTTGGTAGATGCTCAGTTTTCTTAATAGCTTGCTCCATCATTCCTTTGTTATATTCAATACCAGTAATATTACCAACAAAAGGACTTAATCCCACTGCATAATTACCAGTACCACAACCTATAAACAGGACAGCAATTTTACAAGGTTCGTGCAAATTAAAAACTTTACCAATATCAACAATGGAAGCTTCCTTTAGTGGTCTGTCTTTCATTACACGAGCTACTGCTCCAAGAATCACATCTATTCCAACTGCCTGTCTATCTATAAAGGCATCTCAAGGTAAAGCTACATATAGCCAAACTGACTTGAGTCGTACACTTTGGATGCTTGATTGTAATCTTCAAAATCCTTGGAGGCCATTATACCAGTAACCATGCAGCCCCTCCCAAGACTTGTGCAGAAATTAATTTTTAAAAATTATTTTTTTTGTAGCCACAACACAGATGAATACAGCACACACTATAAAATTTTAGCTAGATCTACCACACAATATAAAATGCTGAATCAAAGGCATGCAATGTTTTTATTACACGTTGTATTTAATATCAGTAACAATCTTCAAGTATCCTTCACCAAGCATGACCTTTGATTTGGTTAGCTCAATCCCGTCAGCCATTGGTATCTCAAGCCCACTTCCTCCATGCAAATTAATAAATTCCATCAAAATTGGTTCACCGAGTTTCGTCATGACTTGATTAAGACCTTTAACATCAAGAGTGCCAACAGCAGATGAGATCACATTGAATTCGAACTCAAGCGAAGTTGCATTTCCACACATCACAACTTTCCCATTATGATGCTCCATCCACAAATCACCTGTAAGACTTCCAGTAAGTCCAAGCTTGGCTGCTAAAAGTGGAGCAACGGTGCTAGATTTGACAAACACATTCACTTCGCTTGCAAGCAATAGAGACACGGCTTTTGAGTCAATTTGGAAATGAGGTGGCTTGGTTGTTTTAATACTCAATATAATCCCCATATTAGGATAGGCTTTAAACAACGCTGGGAGAATGAGTCTAAATGATGAAGTATTGAGGGTTAATGGTGAATGCTCAGGAATAGAGTCAGGTGTGATGTTATAGGAAAGTATTCCTGATTCATGGTAGACCAGACCTGCAGTATTAGCAATATAGTCAGTGAACCATATACTCATCATTTCGTGATCTTTCTCGTTGCTCGGAGGTGGTAGAAAAGGAGGGCTAAAAGGAGGATCTTGAGGATTGGATATCAACTGGAACTCACCACTATAATCGATTGCAATGTATTGGTCTGAATAAAGCGGTGTATCAGTCAAAGCATAGTTAACCTCAACTAGCTTGTTAATTGGGACAGTCAGTGGTATGTTCTTTAGCATTTGATTCCCGTGATGATTAATAGCATTTTTAACGCCTTTACAAAATGCCGGCTGGAAATTTTTTGAGAGCATGTGATCAAAATCCTCAATGTGATCGACTGTCTTATAAACCCACTTTGAGCCGCCGTGAAACTTATGGTGTACACTAGAGACAGAAGCAGAGCACTCTGTTGTACTAACATTAGGATGGCCTTTGCTATCTCTAGTTAGTAGGACTCCAACATCAAAAGATACATTAGAAAGACTCACTGTCATATCAGTGCTTGCACTCACATGAATAATGTCATGATGGGAGTTGCTCGTATGTATGTGGCCTTTGACTTCAACGCTTATTTGCGATGCTTTGAAAGTGAGCCCTGACTGGCTTGGAGTCAAACTAGACACAGGTATGGAGAGAGTGTCTATGTGAAGCTTAGAGACAGTCCAGTGTAAAGTAACGTGACCAATCTTGTAATCTAGCTTGACCTTTCCGGAGAGATCTGGCAGGACGGTATTGCCCAGTAAACCCTCAAGGATGAATATGCCAGCCTTTTGAACATAGTCTAGTCCTTTTGAAGAGACAGCAATGCGTAAACCAGGGTCTTTACTATGAGCAGTAGTTGCTGCTATCAAACTCAGAGTAAGAGTTAGAACAAGGAGGACAATCGACTTCATTATTCTTTACCAAAAAAGACGTGTGGCTCAGTATAACTATGCAAGTGACTTATATAGCCGTTTCGCTATCAGTTTACATTGAAACTGAATGTAAATGTTTGTATACCAACTAGCAGTTTATCAATACCATAACATGTTTACTCAAGCTTCAAAGGCACTATATTTCTTTTCGGTTCCGTTTGATTGAAATAACATATTTTTTCTTTCAATATGCAACAAATAATCATGAAATAACTCAAACACAATGATAATCATCATTATTATTAGATTATTGTGGTTAATCTCATTAAAGCAGTATAATTAATACATAGATCATATCAGTAGTACATTAATATTAATCATACGCACAGTGTTACTATCTCTTGGCTCCGCACAACTCAGCTACTACATCAGCCAGCACACGGACTCCCCACTTGAAACCATCAACAGGAATACGCTCGTTAACTCCATGAAACAAAGCAACCAATTTCATGCCAGGAGGAAAACGAGTCGGAGTGAATCCCAAACACACCGGGGTCTTTGTGGGATGACGAGAATAATAAGTAAGGTCAGTCCCGCCAGGTAAGAGGTTAGTTATCACTGGTGCACCATTAGCTCTCTCTCTAATGACACTTCTTATAATATCAACCACTTCAACTATTTCAGGTGCGTTTGGATCCTGGCTATACGTATAGCGATGTTTGATCACCTCCATGCTTAATTCAGGAGCCATTTCCTCTCCGTTTGGCATCGCTCTTGGCTCAAACTTTTCCAGCCCAATAACAAATCGAAGGTCATCCAAGACGTCTTCGACTGTTAGTCCCGGAAGTATGCGACAGTCAACAGTCAAAGAAACCTCGGAGGGTATCTGATTAGCTTGATTACCTCCTTCTATTATAGTGGGGCTAGCAGTGTTATGAAGCAAAGGCATGAAAGCCTGATACTGCTCCATTTGGAAGGCCTTAGCTACAAGATTTGATAGAGTAGGGGAGAGAAGCTGTCGAAATAAAACCCTTTTTACCAAAGGCAGTTGAGCTGACACACTCTCTATAGTAGCTCGTCCAGCTGGTACAATACGTAATGGTAAAGGAGTTTTTGATAATACGTTGGCAACTGAGCCTATGGTACCCAGTGGATTATCGAAATGATAGACAGACGCATGTCCACCTGGTCCCTTAGCAGTTATCTTGATTAATGAAGAAGCTTTCTCTCCGATCATGACAGAAAACATCTCTTTTCCTTCGTTGTGAAGCGATATCCCACCCACTTCAGTAATGACGACATCAGCTTCGATCAATTCGGGTCTGTTTTCAACGAGATATTTAACGCCGTAAGTTGAGTCAACACGTTCTTCGTCAGCCAGTCCAGCAAAGATGAGATCCCGGGAGAGCTGGATGCCATTATCCTTAATGAAACAAAGTATCATCACGCACATGGCAGCCATGTGTTTCATGTCGATTGCACCTCGGCCATAAAGGCAGCCATCTTCCTCGTCTATCTCTCCACCGTAAGGATTATGCTTCCATCCTTCGGCTTCCCAGTTCTCTTTGGGGGCTTTGACAGTGTCTAGATGAGAGCTTAAAAGTATAGGGCCCCTACCCGAGGAGCCGTCTCCTTTTATGCGGGCTATTATGTTTCCACGGCCTGGTTTAGGCTCCACTACTTCATAGTCAACCTTGGAGGCGTCAAATCTCTCTTGTATGACCTTCACTGCTTCTGTCTCGGTACAGTCCTCGCCATAGTTTTGAGTGTCGATCCTAAGCAGTTCTTGTAGCAATACTAGAGCTTTCTCTTCAACTTGGGGCCACTCTGACATAAAACTGTCGAAGAAGAATTTTGAAGAGGAGCCTTGGCCTTCTTCATTAGCAGCCATTTCTTTTCAATTGTTTTGTGAATGACGATATGACATCATTCATTAATCATTATGTTAATTATTCATCAGATCATCATATCATCTGATCAAAAAAGGAGTGGCTCCAAAAGATGGTGCTCTGCAGCAACTTTCTCTTCTTCTTTCTCCTCGGGATAGCCTTGCCTGCTACATTTGGAGATCCTTCTGGACCAATAGTGACAACAAAGTTTGGAAAAGTCAGTGAGACTTTGCATGCTTTGTGGGGGCATGACTCAAATGACTTCTTCTATAGGTACAAGGCCTCACTGTAGACACAGCAAGGGTAAAATATTGATAATATTGATAATATCTTATATCTGTCATACATAACATGCAGATATTCAGATCAATACCATATGCAGGGCCAGTGAATGGTTCTAAGAGATGGACTGACCCAGTGTAAGCATCATTGATTCACATTATGTATTGTTTAATGAGAACAGGTTTCCTGATCCTTGGGATGATGTGTTTGATGCTACCAGAGAAGGTCTAGGATGCCCTCAGGTGATTACTATTATGATCATAATCAGTATTATTATTGATTTAGTATATCCATGCTACTTATAATTATTAGAACTGTGATCTACCAACGCCAAAGGTTTCTTGTCCAACAGTTCAAATTGAGAACTGTCTCCTTTTGAATATCTTCACTCCACTGAATGCAACAGCAGTAAACCATTGAATGTAATATCTTGCTATACTAGTGCTATACTTTCTTTAGGATCAGAATCTACCTGTTATGTTCTTCATGCATGGAGGAGAATTTGTTCAAGTAAATCTATACAATACTTGATCACGAAAATTAATTTAACTGTCAAGGGATATGGCGGTAGCAAACTGTATGACGGGCGCTTTCTTGTCAGTGCTGGCATAGTATTAGTCACAATTAACTACCGCCTTGGTGCCCTAGCTAATTTATTGTATGGGACTGGAGACAAAGAAATTAAAGGGAATTTTGACATAAAGGTATATATATAGGTGAATACTATTGTTTTATTGTATTGTTTTAATGCAGGATCAAAGATTAGCCTTGGAGTGGGTTAGGATGAATATTGCTGCATTTGGTGGCAATCCAAATGACGTTACTATAGCTGGACAGAGTGCTGGAGGAGTTTCTGTGGCTGTTCACATGGTAGCTCCTAAAAGCTCTGGACTCTTCCAAAAAGTCAGTCCATTACTGTATACACAGGGGCCATATGAGATTAAATTCATTATAGGCTATTATTGAGAGTTATCCATTTGCTTCACCACTGAAATCACCTGATGATGCAAGGAAACTTGGAGAAGACTTTGCAACTGCTCTAGGTAAAGCTATAATATTAGCTCTTCACTATTTTTAGCTTTGTCATGTAGGATGTGGCAAGAGTAATGATTATGACTGCCTTTACTCAAAAGTATAGCAAAAAATTTTTTGTGTTATTGATTCATTTCATGCACAATAATTCCCACACTACTAGACAATGACTGAAGTTGCTAAAGCTACTTCAGCTGTCAATTCCAAGATTGTTGATATTACAAAGTGAGTCAACAGCTTATAGTATGATTATTATCACAACAATAATTGCAGAATTCTTGAAATATTTTTACAATGGACACCAATAGTTGATGGAGAAGAGGTATATATACATTGTCAATACTTGTCTGAGATTGCCTTTTTTTTCTTATAGCTTGCTGATCAGCCCCTGACATTGTTTGAGCAAGGTAAAACAGCAGATGTTCCACTGATTATGGGCACTACAAGTCAAGAAGCTGTTCTCTTTGTGTATCGTTCCTTCAAAACTTTGGGTGTAAGCGTTACTCTAATTTTTAATAATTAAGTTTTCCATTTTTTCCCACAGGCACTAGAATATGATGCACTACTATTTGCACTCTACCCGCTGCATTTTGAAGAAATTCATAAACTTTATTCGCCTTCAAATGAAAGGGATCAAAGAAAAGTTGCATCTGTGAGACTTTGACTATAATAAATAATAATAATAATAATAATAATAATAATAATAATAATAATAATAATAATAGCAATTATATATTGTCACATTTAATTCCTCAATAGGTCTTTGGTACTGATGCTATTTTCACTTGCTCCTCATCCTATGCAGCTAAAGTCTTCTCTGCCTCAAAAGACAGCGTCTCACCAGTTTACAGATACATTTTTGATCACGTCTGGTCGTTTCCAGATGCCTGGGACCCAGACTCACTCTACCATGCCTGCAAGAATGCTTCCTGTAATACATAGCCCATGAATGGGGGCACGGAGATAGTAAAACTATATTACTATTATTACTTTATTTCTTAGGCCATGCCTCAGATCTGCCATTCATATTTCATACTCCTAGCATAAATGGGTTTAATTTCACCAGCGATGAAACGGCTCTCACTGACTCGATTGTAAGATACTTTACCAACTTTGTCAAGTATGGTAATCCCAATGGAGAATCTGCCAATAATAACGAGGTATGACAATTCTTAATGATCATATGGTGATGGATTATCCAACAGACTTTAGAGTGGACAGCGTATTCTGAAGTAGGGAAGTGGATGACAATCATCTTTAAGACACCAGCTAATGAGGTATCTTAAATACATTGTGTATGATGGAGAGTGTACTACGGAAATTTTGGATGGAATTAAATTTGGTGAATTTGGCGTTTTGATAGCCATTCACCAAAATAAAACCTGCCATTTTGATTCATTATATGCATCCTCAATGGAACTCGGCCATTAATTCGCCAAATTAAAATTTGCCAATTACCTAATTTCGAACAACTCGCCAAATTTAACTCCCTCCAAAATTTCCCGCTATACGGTATCTTCACTGTGTGTGTTTAGATGAAAAGTGAATACAGAGGTCCTTATTGCTCTGTTCTGGACAACATCGGATACAATCCTTGATTGATTCATTCATTTGCTTGGCTGCTTATGACATTGTTTTTTTAATAAATGTTTTATGTTTTTTTAATATCATTAAATGTTTTTACATTATTGCCGTGTTTATATTTCAAAGAGTATTTTAATAGCAAAATAACAATTGGCGACCTTACAATAACTATAACTACTTTAAAACGACGCAGTAACAAAATCTTATCATCACACACTATTGTGCTAAAAATAGCAGTAGTATTAAAATTAATTTATCACTATACTAGTAGACACTCTCACAAAGTCACTCTCAATATTTAATACCAGTCTAGTTCCTCTTTATAACTTTGATTTCACTTGTCCTAAAAGTTTATCCAGTTTCATTGCCAGCCCCATATTCCCCGATATCTTGAGTTTCCCGGTCATGAAAGCAGCTGTGGCATTGATCTTCCCTTGAAACAGCTCCACCATGTGCTTTGAGTCCATCGTGAACGTAACGTCAGCTGATGTATCCTCAGATACCTCTTGTATGGAGCCTGACCCGGTTTTTAAATCAAGGAGCCAGTTTCCGCTGTTCTCGCCGCTGAGTACAAAAAGGTACGTGGCTCCCATTTGTTTGACAATGGCTTCGCTGGCCATTGAGCGAATGCTGTTGAATATACCAGCAGGAGTATTAATGTCTGGAGGCGAGGAGGAGGAGGAGGAGGAGAAGAAAGAGTTCAAGTATTTCTCGGCCTCGTCTAAAAAGAAATCAGGCATTAGCTCGCTACCTGTGAATCAGGTAAGAAGGGACGGAGAGAGAGAGAGAGACAGACAGACAGACAGAGACAGAGAGAGGGAGAGAGAGAGAAGAAACATAAAAGTAAATATACAAAAAAGTAATGGAATATAATTTTCTAAAAGTACATGTAATATTATAGCTACAGTAGGCCATGTTCATATAACATGTAATACATAAACCATGGTTTTGAGGCAAGTATCAGTATAATGTAAGACCTTTGCCTCTCAATGTCTCCCCTCTGGGACTCAAGTCTTACATTACTGATACACACCTCAAAATGTTACATGTTTTACATGTAACATGTATGAATTAACTTAAACTTTACCTGGTGTAACACTATAAGGCTCCAGGTCAGACACGCCTTCTTTCCTAACCACATCATCATCAATCAGGAACTGGCCAGTAAGCTCACGACTAGGTTTAGTTAATATGGCGTAAGCTGCGTCTCCCATAATCTCTGGTTTACGAGCTTCACTGGTTCCAGATTCACCCATTAACATCTCAATGGCAGCAGTAGCAATACCTGGATAATAATGATAATAATAATAAAAGACTACAAAAGTTGTGGCAGCTATTTTGAAGTGGGGCAAATCCTACTTTGTAACGCTACCGCATTACTAACTAATAATAATAATAATAATAATTGAATTTTTTTGAAATATGACCTTACAGGTCTCATAAATAAATTAATATTAATTTAATTATAATATCAAAAAGGTCAAATCGCCCACACTTTTGATTAAAAATTGATGGTATGCTGACCTAACATCATAATGTAAGTCAGTCTTAATGCACTTATTGAAAAAAAAATCACTAACTTGTTCTAGGCCATAATGCATTAACAGCTACACCACTTTCCTGGAATTCTTTAGCCATGCCAAGGACACAGAGAGACATGCCGTACTTTGCCATTGTGTAAGCTAATGAAAGAGAGAAACAATGAAAGCATAAGGAATGTAAATACGCATAATAATTATGTTTTGAGTGTGCATAAGACTTGAACTAATTCTTATTACATTTTTCTGATACATATACATGTTCTTATGCTATGTATCAAGTTTGAGCTGATTCCAATCAAAATTGGATTTTTTATGAATTTTTAAAGCTGCTCAAAAATCGGGCCAAAGTCCCTGTACTATAGTACAGGGTTCTTGGCCAAAATTTGCCAAAGTGACTAGGAGAGAATTCTTCATTTTTATAAATTTTTCTGATACATATACATGTTCTTATGCTGTGTATCAAGTTTGAACTGATTCCGATCAAAATTGGAATTTTTATGAATTTTTAAAGTTGCTTAAAAATCGGGCCAAAGTCCCTGTACTATAGTACAGGGTTCTTGGCCAAAATTTGCTAAAAGTGACTAGGAGAGAATTCTTCATTTTTATAAATTTTTCTGATACATATACATGTTCTTATGCTATGTATCAAGTTTGAACTGATTCCAATCAAAATTGGATTTTTTAATGAATTTTTAAAGTTGCTAAAAAATCGGGCCAAAGTCCCTGTACAGGGTTCTTGGCCAAAATTCGCCAACGATGACCAGGAGAGAATTCTTCATTTAAAAAATTTTCTCTGATACATATACATGTTCTTATGCTGTGTATCAAGTTTGGAATGATTCCAATCAAAATTAGATTTTTTACAAATTTTAAAAGTTGCTGAAAAATTGAGCCAGCTGTTATAATAGTAGAGCAGAGATGATGGCTAGGAGATGCCTGATACATGCATACATACATTGTACAAGAAAATTGCATAATAATTATAGTAACTACTATAGTAAATTCCTTAGAAAATAAACAATGTACCAGTACATGTGCCTACATAGTTCTGCCTATGGTGGTCGGGGATGGTCGGGACAACCACTTCAACAAATGAACCAACCAGTTCATCACTTAGACCAACCATCCAATTAATACTAATAACCATACATAAAGCATGATATTGTAGTCTACTAGTATGGTGTACATAAATAAAAAGGAGCAATATTAGTCTCCAACCACCTTTAATTTTATTCTAGGCAAAACCCTGCATGTACATAGTCTAGTGAATTGTCATGGAGTTGCTTACCACAGTGATTAGCAAACCAGATTGGTTTCATATTCAATGGTGGGCTAATGTTGAGAATGTGGGGATTCTTACTCTTCAGTAAATGAGGAAGACACAATTTCGATCTAAAACATAATGTTAAAAAAATAATAATAATATTTAAAAAATTTATTATAATAATGATAGTTGTTTGTGGTTTCTTTCTTCCTCTAATAATAATAATAATAATAATAATACATATACATGTACATACATCCTTTCAGCTTGTGTGCATAATCTACATGTACTTACGTCAGGAAGGTACCTCTTGTATTGATATCCATCATTAGATCATATCTAGAAATAAAAATAAATAATAAATTATAAAATTTGAACAAGTACAATTACATGTACATGTATATGCATTAAATCTTAAGTCACTATTCTATTAAATAATATACATACATCAGGGATCTGCCTAGAATAAAATTAAAGGTGGTTGGAGACTAATATTGTTCCTTTTAAATTTAAGTACACCATACTAGTAGACTACAATATCATGCTTTATGTATGGTTATTAGTATTAACTGGCTGGTTGGTCTAAGTAATGAACTGGTTGGTTCATTTGTTGAGGTGGTTGTCCCGACCACCCCCGACCGCCATAGGCAGAACTATGATACATTTATATGTACAATACTAATATAATGTAGTGAATGATATGTCATACTTCTTCATTGTTGTATCAAGTGTTCTTGTGAGGCTGATGGCACTAGCATTATTGACCAATATATCAATGCCACCAAACTTCTCAACTGCTTTATCAACAGCAGCTTGAATCTGAGACTCCTCTCTTATGTCAACTACACAGGGTAGACATGAACCACCAGCTGCCTCAACTGAGAGAGAGAGGGAGAG